TTTTTTTTTTTTTTTTAAATCTCTATGAATAATTTATATGTAATTTTAGAATTCATGGAACTATGTGGTCAAAATGCAGCAGGACTAGACAAACAGCGGTCGTGACTTTCGACGGAGTGCGTTTAAGGCTGCGCTTGTGCAAAATACATGAGAAAATCATAACGAGGAGTTCCTGAATTTAACCAAAATATGTCCGGTTCAGCTGACAGCTAGGTGTGCATGGACAAAATAAAAATGTCTGGAAATTACAGTTTACATCCCTTGAAATAATTTGAATCCCCTTGATATAAAGAATTCAACTGGATGTTTCCTTCCAAAATTGTGCTCACTGCAGCCATCCGCACCGTCACAGCGGTATTTCTGTAATGACTTGGACTACAGCAGGGCACCTGCACACCTCAACTGAAAAGCCTTTCAGTGTCAGTCAACTGGAAAATACGCCAATTTCATTAAAAAGAAAAAGGAAGCTTACTGAAGGACCGTGTGCATGGATTGGCCTTATTCACAGCCCACTTGTCATAGTAGGAAAAGCACCGGCGGTTCTAAGAACACTGATTTCTATGTAACTCTACCCGTTAGCCACAACAGCGCTGACAAGTGTCAAAGTGCCTTCCACGGAAAAGGCCAACAGTTTACCTTCAACACAACAAACCACCAAGAAACCTTAACGGGTTTGAAATCTTTAAAAAACAAAGACTAACATTGTGAACTTTGACGGCCCTCAGACTCCTGTGCGACTTTCAATTTCGGTGAAAAGAATTTACCAACGATAAGCTAAAAAGCTCACTAATAACCACATTATGCAAACTATTTGCACCAGAACTTGAACCTGTCTTTTGAAACAAATTAAAAACGTAAAACATCTGTAGTATGTCAAGCCTCCATTTTTCCAGTATTTCTAACACCTGGCGACACTTTTTACATGTTGATTCCAAGTTATTGTTTCAACTTTTGTAAAATGACCAAAGAAATTCAACCATATCCATCTCTTTTAAGGTTTTTGGCATTATGATGGTGGTACACTGAACAGAAGACATTTTTGTGGTTGTGCTGTTTCCACAGAAGTACACAACTTTGCATTACAGTGGAAAGTGAGTCCACGGTG